AAAATGAAATTTTTAATTTTTGATCAGAATTACCCCAACAGACTCTATAGATTTTATTTTCTTTCAACAATAGACAAAACAATTTACTCTTTTCTTTTTCTTTATTTGAATAATTTGCTTTTTTCATCTTTCAAATCATTTAAAACGTAATATCTGCATTTGGAAAATATTCTTGTAAAGAATTTGAACGTTTTGATTCACCATATAAATCTAACCTATCTATTTTGGCACAATTAATTCGTGTAGCATCTCTTGTAAAATTGTGTGTCACTCGTTGTAAAGATTCATATTTGATACGAAGAGTAACATTATTTGGCAAAGACGCTTTAGTATTAAATAGAAATTCTTTTATATAATCATCATGAACACTCATGATACGAAGGTCACTAAGAAAACAATATTCAATAACAGATAAATTTTGATTATCATTGCTTGATTCATAAGATTGTTTATGATTTTGTGATTTATGATTTTCTACATATAACTCTTGCATATATGGAAATGATTGAACAATTCGAAGAAAAAATTCATGTTCAAAAGGATATTCATCGTATAATGCCACTATACGAACATATTTAAATAATCCACCTGGAAAATTATTTGTAATAGAACTATAATATGGCATAAAAGATGGATATGAGTAAATATGACATCGAGCTTTTTTTTTCTCTGGAAAATAATCCACATAAGAAATAATTTCACTATTTGTAAAGTCAATGAATGTGCGTTGAATATCTTCTCTTGATGGCAAATTCATTTCATTATCAATAGATATCAATGAACTAATATAAAATGTGAATTGATTTAAGCGTAGCATACGATTAATAATATGTCTCTTTAAATGGTTTCCATCAATAATTGTCTGAAGAGGACAGATCATAAAACATAAACCAAGTACCTCTAGATTTGACATTCGATATAGTAATGGTAGGATTGTATTATCATAATCCAAAGTTTGCAAATTACAGGACAGAAAAAAACATCTTAGATTTGGCAAATTCCCCTTAAAAAAAACATTTTGTTATTTGACAATATAAAGTTATTTCTTGCAAAACTAACCTGATTTTCAGTTTCATCTAGACAAGAAAGATTAACCAAATCAACATAGAGCGTATGAAGTTGATTAAAACGACCATCGAGAAGATAAAGACAATCATCAAAACATTGTACTCTGATATTTAATATCGAAACACTTGAAGAATATATATTAGAAGGTAATGGATCATTAAAACATAATCGAATAGGATTTCTATACGATGATTCATAAAATGTTAAAGCTATCAGACGTGTGAAAACATTGAAGATGTAAACACATATTTTTCCAACTGACAATAACATCTCATCATAATTATTATTTTTATCCATCGTAATGAAAAGTGTTGTAATCTGATTTGTGAAAATACCAGATGAAAGAATTTCATCTAAATACATATGTACAGTATTAGTTAGAATAAAAATGCCTATGAAAATAATATCAATATATTTTCAAATGATCTAGTTATCTTTTATGAATAAATTTAATAAATTTTTCACTTTTGTTTAGAATAAAAATGATTGAATCGAATTGTCTTACCAGTAAAAAGGCATCGAGCTGATTCTTCATTAATATTATAAAGACCAAGACCATATAAATTAGGATAATGAGCAGTACGTAAAATATATTTCATAGATGACGATTCAAGATCAAGCCATTGAATTTTATCATGAATTTCAGGTAAAATTTGTAAACGAAATCGATTAAGGATCATATCACAAGAAATTAGATCAGTAAAATTATTTGAGAACCATTTAACACAAATCAAACGACTTGTAAAAATTCGATCCTGAATAATCTGATTTAGTCGTTGATTGACACCATGTAAAGAATAAAGTACATCAAAATTGTTGAGTTTTTTGAAAATAATCATAAGAATTTCATCAGGTAAATCATTTAATCCAATGCATGAATATTCCATATTTATTTTCACTTATCGTCGACTGTTTTCAACTTATGAAAAGTCAATTTTTATATGTATATACTCATCTGTTTTATTTGACCGATGTCGTCAATAAAAAGAATAATGTATTTTTCTCTAGTCGAAATTGGCAATGAATTAAAGGAATTAATGAATGAATGTTGTTTTTTCTTTTTTTTATTCGTCTAATATGTCATATGATTAAAAAAAAATGATAATCTTTCTTTCTTTCTTTATTTATTTTATAGTACATGTGAGCACCTAGAGAATTCAGTTGATACTTAATTAAAATTAAAATTTATTAGATAAAAAATGGTTCTCTAAACATTTAGGAAAATGAATTTCAAAGTTTAAGAATAGGCTTGAAAACATAAGGTTGATTTGAAAATTCGTATTCATCTACAAGAGTATTTCTTCATTTATATTTTCCTATTCAAACACTTTGTTAACGACAAGTAAATCGATTTTTTTGCAAAACTGTTGAGAAAGATTCTAGAGTATCATAAATGATCTAGAAGTAATATCATATAGCTTTCAAAAATGTT